ATATGCTAATTATTTATAAAAATTATATGAATTTAAATTAGTTATAATAAATATAATTGCTATAATATAAAATACAAATAGCTTTGAAGTAAAGTTTGAAGTTTTGTTTTTATAGCATAATATTTTTAAATTTTAAATATAAAATTTTACAAACTCTAAATTAGAGAATACTTTTGGAGATGTTCTATTATGGTTTACGTGGTATCGCATGTGGACATTATTTTTCTAACCTTTGATAGAGTCCACTTTTACACCTTCAAGGAAACTTAAGGAAGCAAAAAGAATTTAGCACCATTTTCTTCCACAAGAATCATAAAAGTCATTTCGAACCGTTTACTTGAGGTCAACACACGTGCTCCCTGCCCTCCCAGAGTCCAACACGTATATAAATATTATTTATTTCTTATTAACCCATTAAATGGTGACCAACCAAACCAAAAACAAGAGAGAAAAAGTAACCAATAACTCAATAAATTAACGATAGTTCAATCAGTACACAGAATGCAAATGATTAAATCTACTTTTCTCGCAGATTAGGCTGTAGTAAAATATGATGCATATCAAATACGATAGTTCAATCAGTACACAAAATATGATAACCGTCACCAGTCTTACATCGCCCGTAATGCACCCGTATGGCTACATTACCTACTTGCTCTGGAGGTTCAAATATAAGGTCTTGGGTGAGGTTCCTTTTTCTTTATCCGTTGATGTCTAATGATATCTCTTATTTTTCTGTTGTTTTCTCTTTTATACTTTTTTGGAACTTTATTTGTATCTTTGCACTAGTGTTATAAAAAAAAATCAAACCTTTTTACATTAAGGTCCAATACATCTGAGTTTCTTAATTGTCAAAAAGAAAATCTGGTCCGATCTACTCTGGAGCATCTGGAAATATCTAAATGCTTACTATAATATATCAGAATCTCTATTCTAGAAATAACTACAAATATATAGAATAAATTTTAGCAAAAAGAAAAGAAATAACTATAATTATATAGAAGATTAAAAAAATTGATTTCTATAGATCTATCTAGTTGTGAAGAAAATAAATTATGGGGAGGAAGATAAATTTCGTGAAACAACTTTATTCGACAAGGAGACAACTACTATTTGAGACAGCTCAGAATTATCATGGCGAGCTTGCTAAAACATATGGTTGATGTTCATTTTGGAAAAACTGGTCCTGATGACAAATCGAGTAGTAGTGGAATATGATTTCACGTTTGATTTAAAATATAAAGGGAAGGTTGCTTCCCTACCAAAAAACTTTACCGTAATTTGCAAAATACCAAAGACATAAAAATCGTCTACTGTTCATGCTGCTTATTTACTCTGTTACCCTTTTCTAATTAAACTTATCACCTGACCAATGAAAATTACGGGTAGACAATAGAATCGAAGAGAGAGAAGAGGTAGTTAGATACACAAGATATACCATATCTTTTTTGTCAGTACTTTTGGCACAGTGAACAAAGAAACCAAACAAGTTAAAAAAAAAAGATAGTTTCATATATCAACTCGAAGTTCAATGTTTCTCTCCTTCCCCAATTAAATTTTGTTAAACTCAATCAACGTATGGATGAGGACGATGGTTCGCGGAGGCCACCATGTCCACTCTCCGAGAGGTTTTCGCCGTCGGAGAAGAATCCATCGGCATCAAGATCCCTCCGTACCACAAGTAAACAAAATCCAACGTGTGACATGCATCTTATAACAATTTTTTTTTGTGTCTACTATCAGTGAAAAAAATCAAATATGATTCGGTTTGTTTGATGAAGAGTCTACTCTGAAAAGATCTTTCCTTGAGAATTCCGCCATAGCCAAGCCAAATTGAGGAACCTGCAACGTCTTTGTTTGGATAGATAATTAAATTTATTACCAGTTCTCAAAATTGTTAATCGTAAACTCTATTTAAAAGATAGTCAGAATAATTAGTATACTATAACAATAAATTTTGGATAACTAAAAGTTGAATTTCTCATTACCATTAACAAGCTATTAAAAAAGTTACACATCCAACTACAAAATTAGCATGAAATCTTATATCTGTTGGAGTAGGGGGTTCGTTTTATGGTTAAAACTATTGAACGTAGGGATATGATAATTTATAGCTAATATATTAGTTAGATGTTCATTAAATGTGTTAACCATCTAAAAAATGTGGTAACCATTCACAAGGAAAACTGGACATATGATAATTGATTTATACAATTTAGAAAACATTGGATACGTAGACGTATATATTAGATTAACCAGCTACGATACATCAAATACGGTAATTTATTAGATTAGTTCTAATGGTTTAGGACCATTTGTAATGTAAGGGATTTGTGTTAAAGAGATGAGGGTTAAGAGATATGCAAGGGTTTGGACTTACGAAATTGAAGTTTAGGGTTTAGCTTAGTGTTTAGGGTTTAGTATTTAGGGTTTAGGGTTTAGCTTAGTGTTTAGGGTTTAGTATTTAGGGTTTAGCTTAGTGTTTAGGGTTTAGTATTTAGGGTTTAGGATTTAGGATTTTAGGGTTTAGGGTTTAGAGTGTAGGGTTTAGGGTTTAAATTATTGGGTTAGGGTTTATTCATTAGGTTTATAGGCAACCATTTGTTAGATGAGTAAAAGTTTATAGAAGACGTTAATTAATTATAACTGTATCCGGCTAATCTAGTGTTTATCCACGAAATTTGCAATCGTAGCTGGTCAAGTGACTGAAGCCAACCTATAATTTATTTGTCGGGGATATTGGATCAGTACTAAGGCTTTAGGTCCACTTGTAATGTAAGAGATTTGTGTTAAGGCTTAGGGTTATGAGATATGCAAGGGTTTAGGTTTAGGAAATTGAAGTTTAGGGTTTAGTATTTACGGTTTAGGGTTTAGGGTTTAGGATTTAGAGTGTAGGATTTTAGGTTTAGTGTTTAGGGTTGAAATTATTGGGTTAAGGTTTATTCGTTAGGTATATAGTCGACCATTTGTTAGATGAGTAAAAGTTTATATTAAGACGTTAAATATAAACTTATCCGGCTAATGTAGTGGCTATCCACGTAATTTGCAATCGTAGTCGGCCAAGTGACTGAGACTGATCTATATTTATCTGTTGGTAATATTGGATCTTACTAGTGGTTTAAGACCACTTGTAATTTTTTAATTACTCTAAAACCTATAAAAAATCTGAGCATAATCTTTTCGTAGATTTGGTTCAGAGATTTTGTAAGGCATGGATAATAAATTTATCTTATCGATGCAAGTTAAACCAATGTGTGTGTTACAAAAAAGAAAAAGATAAAAAAATAAGTTAATGTGAACGAAATCTCATTTTTATCTTGCCAAATCTATTGATGATCTTGTGTCAGACACAACTGCCCATAAATTCAAAACCGGGAAGGTGAGACGTCCAATGGGCAGGGTGTTTTAGTCTTTCTATCACCTCTTCCTGTGCCACGTATACACTCTCTTTCATCACTTTGGTAGTATGCTAATTTCACAATCTTTCATGGTTTTCTAGCTAAATTGCTCAAATATAAACGATAAAATATAGAATGTAGTGTTATTTGTTCAAAACCAAAGAATTTTCATGCTACAAAATATCACACTACACTTGTTTACAAATTTTTTGTTGCATCGTTTGCAAAATAACTCTCTGATTATATAATCAACATGTCCTATAGTTATAACAATATATAGTCTTATTATAGATATATAATGTACAGAAGAAAGCTCATAAATATTACGTCTAAAACATCTAAAAACTAACAACAATGGTTACTTAGGGCCTGAATGGTTATAATGCAGTGATTGCGGTTACGGTTACAGGCGTTTGCAGATGCGGGAGATTGCGATTTTAAGCGTTAGTAAAAGATTTAAACGACTGGTTCAACGGTTAAAAATTGTTGCGTTTGCTGGATACTTATGACTGGTTTATTATCAAATACAACAGTCATTAAATAATAAATGACAATATTTATATTTTATATAATTAACAAAATATTTAAATCATTTTTATAATAAATATAAAAATTTTATTAATAAAACTGTACTATTAAATGTTTTAAAAATTAAAGAAAAATTTTTTTGGAAATTTTATAATATAAATATTTTGGTATTTCAATTATTTTGATTTAAAAATTTAATTGAATATTTTATTTTTATATTTATAGAGTTTTATGGAAAAGAAAATATTTTTATCCTCCCGTAATCGCACGCAACCGCAAACGTCAGTTGGAATTAGCTTTTGAATTTTAAAGATTCAGAGCGGTTTGAAACGGTTTATAGCGTTTTTAATGATTGTTGCAAAACACTAACAACAAGAAAATCTATGTTTGCGGGTGATGTCCGGAGAACCAAAATCAAGCTCTTAGTTGAAAGAGAAACGGTCTCTAAGTAGAACCGATACTAAATGGTATTGTAATTTCATGTTACATGAAAAGCAATCAGTGCTATATACCTATATGTGTAAAAATAAGTCTTTTGAGGAGAAACTTAATGGTGTCCCCTATTCTCGAATCTATTTGACTACCGAAGATCAAACGAATCTGTACAAACATCAAAAAGTTTCTCCAAACAGTAACACGTATTCGGTGTTTTATGTCAGCAATGATCGTTTTCCATTTTGACGACTGGTTTGCGTGACGTCATCTCGTATGATATACGATGATGTAATAAAATATGTGTCATGAAAGACGTCATATTTTATTTGAAAGCGGTATTCCTGCGAAGGTAGCTTCAACGAGAATAGCTCCACGAGGACCATGACCAATGACCATGCTCACCACTCAACGTTCCTTCTATTTCTCATCATGCGTGGGATACACGCTTCACTATCCACATGTAGATTTTTTGGAATGATTCCACCTATCCGAAGGCACGTGAGGTACACGAACCTATCTCTTGTTTCGTTCGTTTCTCCTTCGGTCTTTCCCATTAATTTCCACTCTCTTCCAAAAAGCATAAAGCAAATGTTATATATATATGATGAGGATGCTAGAGATTAATAAAAACATATAAACAAAAGATATATAAACTCATCTAGATTCTCTCTACCGGAAAACAACATGAAGTCATCATCATCATGGACGTTTCTTACCACCACAAGGTTAGACCAGAGAAAGCCATCTCCTGTTTCAAAAAGACCACCAAAGCAAATGAAGAAGACTGCTTCAACGAACAAACCCATCAAAGTGCGATATATATCGAACCCCATGAGAGTCAAAACTTGTGCGTCCAAGTTTAGAGAGCTCGTACAAGAACTCACCGGCCAAGACGCCGTCGATCTTGAGCTGGAGCCTGAGTTTTCCCCTTCCGTTGCCTCTGACCACAGCCTTTCCCCGCCGTCGGAGGAGAATCTTGCGCCACGTGTTCTTGATCAGGAGCCGTTCGATGATCTCGTGGCTGGTTACTATGAGCCGTTGGATGGGGAAGACATGTTTTTGCCTCAGATGTCGGGAGGTTTATCAGGATATTTCTCGAATGAGTTTTACAATATGAATGGCTTTGGAAGAATCGATTCTATGTGACTGTATTTGGAGTATTTAGGGGTTTCAAAGTACATATCTATCAGTTAATTATGGAATGTCGATGCATATATTTAAATCAATACATGTATATTACTTACCCAGGTTTGTGAAGAGAATTATAAGGGTAAGTAAGTCATTTGCACAAAATTTTATATGAACCTCGTGGTTTATTGTTTTGTTAGATTATTTTGATATGTTCGGTTTTGACATTTTTTTTTCATTTGAATGCCTGAAAGTTATAAATAAAAAAAATGTCACTAGCCAACAGAAAATGATATTAATATATTTTATAAATATACCAAACTCAAAGTTAATTCAAGCGACAATTTTACAATATAGGACCTCGACTAAGTTGATTTAAAATGGATTTTTAACAAAAAAAACTCTCGACTAGTTTGGTGTGGATAAAAAAATCCCTAAACTAAATATTTAATCCCATAAACTAATTTTATTTAATGAATAAAACTCTCGCCCGTCATAATTACCAGTACTACCGGTAAATCTTTATTTTAGGTTTTTATCATTAAACAAAAAAAATAAAATAAAATAAAATAAAAGAAATTAAATATAATAGAATTATCTATAATTCATAATTTTAATTTTCAAAATTAGTATTTTAAAAATTTCTGTAAACATATGAGTGATTTGTTGTCCTTTTAAAAGGGACTTTAACTCTAAAATACCTCAATTAAGTCCATATTAAATTTATTTAATGAATTAAACTTTCGCCGGTCATAATTACTTTACTACTGAAAAAATCTTTAGTTCAGAGATTTTTACATAAAGTAAACATAGTTGAAGAGTTTTATCATTAAAAATCTATAAAAAAAATTGTAACATTAACTAAAAGTTAGTAACTTAAGTTTTCAAAATTAGCATTTTTAAAATTTTCTGTAAATATATGAGTTTTTGTTTTAACATCAACATTATATATATAAATTAAAATTGTAAAACACCAAAATATAATAAAAATCATGTAAAGATTTATTATTACATTTTTATTAGATAAGATATCATTTTTATTCAGTTTTCATGTTTTTTACATTTATAACTTTTGATACTTTTTACTACAGGTAAATCTTTAGATAATTTTTCTAAATTTTCTGGGTTTTTACATTTTAAATTTATACATATATAATGTTGATTTTAAAAGGATAACAAATCTGACGCATATATTTACAGAATTATTTTTAAAAAATTAAAGTTATGAATTTTTAGATAATGTTATTATATTTTGATTTTTTGTTTTTGTTTTTAATGATAAAACTCCAAAACTAAAGATTTACCAATAGTACTAGTTATTATGACCGGCGAGGGTTTAATTCCTTCAATAAAATTAGTTTGGAGTTTTCTTTGTTAAATACTTAGTTTAGAGGTTTTTAGTCAGAACAAACTTAGTTGAGGGATTTTAATGTTAAAAATCCATTTAATATTAACTAGACTTTAATCTGCGTAACTGCGCATATATTGATTTCATTTATATATATAGATATTTGTTTTACATCATTACTGATATATATTTTTAACATTAGACTGTTTATATAACTCTTTTAAATACAATAATTTTATAATTTTACATGTCGTAAGTAATCAACTGTTGTAAAACGTCACATTTAATAGTTTCTTATCATATATTTATCTTATTAGATGGTATTTAATTATTAAACGAAACAATTGTGCATAAATTACCATATTTGAAAATTACTTTGTATTAAGTTTATGCTAAATTATTACCCATGATTCAAAGCTTCGGATTACCTTTTAAAACTTTTTTTTGTTTATTCATTTTCGATAACATATTCTTGGTATATAAAAATTTAAAATGTTAATTTGTATACATGTAATATATAGTTTAATATGCCAACCCTTTATACCAAAATATTATATTCTTTTAACATGAATATATATATATATAAAGAAAATATAATAATATATCAATTTAATCTAACTTTATTATACTTAGATCAGTCTAATAATTATTTAAATTATATATTATGCTTATAAAATAAATAAACCATTTTAAATTTTTATTTTTCATTTTATAAAGGATAACTGAATATATATCAGTTGAGTACAATATTTTATTATTAATTGAAAATTTTGTGAATTTTTTGTATAAATTTATAAATTTGAGATCTTGTTAAATTCTTATTCAAAATAATATTTTCGAATTTGTAACACATATATATTTACATTTAAAATATCCAACAATATTGGTTAAAACAGTTACCCATATTATATATTATTAGTCTTAATATATGATTAAATATGATAGAATTTGTATTTTTCATTTTATAATGGATAACTGAAATACATGAAATGATAATAATATTTTATTATTAATTAAAAAAATTATTTAAAATGTTTATATAAATTTTTAAAAACTGCGACCTTGTTAAAATCCTTTTCAACAATATTGATATATATATATATATATATATATTTAAAATATCCAAAAATATTAACACATATTTTCTATTATTAGTCTTAATATATGATTAAAATATGATAGAACTTTTATTTTCATTTTATAATGGATAACTGAAATATACGAAAATGATAATAATATTTATTATTAATTACAATATTATTGAAGATGTTTATATAAAATTTTAAAAATTGATATCTTGTTAAAATATTTTTCAATAAGTTTGTTAGAATTAAAAAAAAAATGTATATATATATATATATATATATTTCTATTCAAAATGAAAAGATATCAAAAGAGATTATAATTAAAGTAGTTACACATATATTATCATTAGTTGTAACAAAATATATTTAAAAATGTGTAATAAAAACTCCAATTTTAAAATACACATAAATGAAGTTGTACATCTATTTTAATAAAATAGATGTTTTAAAGTAATAACTCAAGAATTTATATGTCGATCTTGTAATTTCCTGTAAATTTTTTTAATCTTTTTGTCAACAGATTATTTTACTAATGATACCTTGTATGGCTGACATTTTCACAGTATTTAATTATTCTTGTTGACTGTTTTTTTTCTTGTTGATTTTTATGAGTTTTTTTACACTATAGAGCAGTTTTGAGTTTTTAATAACTCTATAAGGCAGTTTATGCTCCTAAGGTAGTTTTTTGTAATTAAAATCTAAATATTGTCAACTAGAATCTTTTTATCTAACTAAAAAAGTCCTATAATATTCCAAAATTATTACTTTTTGTTTCTTTTCTGTAAAAGTAGCAAACAAAATTTAGAAATCAAAAAGTTTCAAAATTTTCTTCTTCACATCTCACTTTTCAATCTCTCGATCCAGATCATATCTCAGCTCATCTTTGTCGTGTTTTCTGGTCCTCCTATGTGACCGCCGATGAATCTCAGTCGAGCTCGATCGCAAAATCGTCACAGTTCGTCTTCTCCTTTACCACAAATCAATATATTGTACTCTTCAATTCATTTCTCTTGTACTGTGACAATAGCTCATGGTGATTATGATGCTCCAAATCCCACCATGGTGGCCGTTTTTCAGTTGCACCATGAAGCTCAAATAACAATGGCCAAATCACACAAAAAAACTCATTATCTTTTTAAATCTGAAGTTGAAAATCTATATATAAATGATAAAGTTATGATCTTGAAGTGTAACCAACAATTAAAATGTTATAGAATGGAAGATTAAGAGAAAGAGATCAATGGCGGCCGCAAAAAAATGTTGCAGAAAACCCTAAAAAATCTGGGGAAGATGAGACCAAATTTACTAAAATACCCCTTATTAAGAAAATAAAAATAAACAAAAAAATCATATGTACATAACATTATGTACACACAATTTTTTATCCACATGTACATAGATTATTGTTTTGGTTTATGTATATAGTCATATGTACATGACATTATGTATACACAATTTATTATTCATATGTACAACGATTCATATGTACTCCTGTCAATTTTGGCAAATGATTCATATGTACACACTATAAAAAATTTCATCAAAACTATACATGAAATTAAGTATACGCAATTTATTATCCACATGTACAATGATTCATATTTGCACCCGTCAATTTTGGAAAATGATTCATATGTACACACTATAAAACATTTTATCAAAACCATATATGGTATTTTGGTGAAAACCATAAATCTTAATTTGTATCTTTAAAAAAACCCAATTTTATGCTTAGAAAATAAAAATGCTTATTTTAGCTATTTAAGAGTACAATGAATATATAGAAAATCTTTTTTTATGGAACAAAAAAAACTCAAAAATCTCACTTCTGCAAAACAAAATTTAATGTTCGATGAGTGTAAATCACTCAGAAGTGAATGTAACTCAGTCAGAAATGAATAAGAGACCCATGGTGTTGAATCGTTATTTTGTGGTGGATCACTTCGAAAGGAGCGGTGATGACGAAGAGTTTCAGCCGCTGATGGAGGAAGGAAAAACAGAGGTTTACGAGTCACTTGTTTTCATTTGTTTTCTTATCAATTTTTTTCTTATATATATGGTACATTGTTTTAATAATAAAGAGTGTGCACATGTGAAGACGTACACATGCACATATATAATTGTACATATGTAAATTTTGCTTTTTGTTTTAATAATAAATAGTGTACACATGTGAAGAATGTACATTTTTTTAATAATACAGAGTGTACACTTGTGAAGATATACACATGTACACATATAACTGTACGCAATTTGCTATTCTTTTAATGAGTGGCAATTTTGTAATTAAATCCTCTTCTTTCTATTAGGGTATCCTGTCTTTGTGCAATTAAATCTCAGAGCCGCCATTGCTTGTATTCGTGCAATCTTCATTTTTTTTTGTGTTTTCACCTCTATAACTTGATAATATTGTAATTAATTAATCGATTAGATCCAAAACCAAGTGAAAAACAAATTTTCTCATATTTTCTGAGTTTTAACAAATTATAATCATAATGTTATAGTTTTTCTTCATCAATTATCAACCCGTTTGCTTTCGAGCATGACGCTATAGCTTCCTAGATTTTGAGTTCACACTTGAACATTCGTAGTCAACAGAGACAACACCATAGCTTCCTGGATTTAGAGATTTCGCAGGAGGTTAAAAATATTAAATTTTTGAATCTGGAAATGGAAGTGAGTTTAAATATCTTCTCTTCTCTGTCAGTTTTTAGAGATCTTATAAATAAAAAGTAAGCTTTCTGAAATAAAAAAAATGTGAGCTTTGAAAAGATTTTGTTTAGCTGAAACAAGGAAAAAGCAAATGAAGAAAAAAAGAGAGAGAAATAGAGAGAGATTTGTGGAGAAGAGTTCGGAGGAGTGAATAAAATGGTACCTACTAATTACAGTTTGTTTTGGTTTCAACCATTAAATGTAACTAAAAAAGAAGAAAATTAGAAAAAGTGTTCTAGTAGTGGAAATGACTTATTATGTTATAAAAAATTTAAAGCTGTCTCTAAGTGTAATATTTTATTTTTATATTACATCTGTGATCTGACAATCAACTACTCTTTTCATTTAGTTTAGTTGTGAGAAACTGATCAGTGTGGTAGTTTTTAATGAAATTTGACCTCCTAGGGTATTACAGCTCTTGTTGTGCTAGTTTTATATGAATAAAACGTAAAGACATCAGTCAAAGTGAGTGATTTGATTGAGCTGTATAAAAAAATCTTTTAACTTTAGTTTCTATGTATAAAAAGAAATATTATCAACCATGTTTTATATAATTTTTAAATCTAAAACCAGAAAAAAAACTAAAGAAGTGGATATATATGTGGGACTTCTTTTGTAAAATAAAAAAAAAAGATACTGTTGTATGGATATTTTTTGTTCTTTTTCTCATTTAATTTTTACAAATATATTAGATACATCTACATAAAATAATCTTACAACTAAATTATACAGTAAAATTATATAATCACAATCAAATCAATCATCCACAAAGACTAAGAATATTTCTACTCAATGTTTATCATTCTCCGGATCAAGATTTGGCAAGAACAATGGGACCAGAGGCACAATGCCAATAATTGCACATCTACGTAGCAAACAGATTTGACGGCATTGGCGATATGCCAAAATCAAAAAGATATGAACCAAGATATGATAATTTATTGATGAGCATGTGATCCTGACACGAGAATCACGCATGAGTGATCTAGATATTCAATTTGCCACCGAATAAAATAGTTGGGGGGGGGGGGGGGAGGCCATGTGATCTCGCCAGAGTTTTAACCCGTAAAGGCAAGAAATGTAGTTTACCTCAAAGGTGTAACAGTGGCGAGAGCTTCGAGAACACCAGCGCCATATCCGGAAAGCAAACGGTCACAGTTGCTGAGCTTTCCGGTATGGAATCTTTGAACGTGGTTTAGAACATGGCGTTGGATCCCATTAGAAGCGTGTATTTGAGTCAAGATCGGCGTCAAACCGTGGTATGACGGAGTATAAGTAGCGTTCCAAGACAAGACGCAAGAATTAATAAGAAGATGTGAGTGTAACACCATTAAAACACACTTTATATTACACTATAGTATATCGTAGCTAGTAAAGCGACCAGTTACAAACAAAGAGAGAGGTATATTAGGTATTATTCTAAATAATTTTTCATATGGTAAAAGTTGTGTCATGTCAAAGTGTCAAAACCTTTACAGAGCATTCTCCTTCCATGTTGTCTCTTCTTTATAACGACGTACGTGCTATTTAGCCTATTTATATAATCTACTCTCACACAAAGTCCCTTCCAAATCAAGAGCTACAACAATTTTTATATTTGTTTGTTGGTTACTAGAAATGGCTATCCCTAATCTCATAGCCACATGCACCACCGACAGATTCTTCTACTTCTGCTTTTCCAAACCAAACCACTTTTTGGCTCGTCGTTTGCCACAGACGACTCAGAGTGACAGATCAGTCCAAATTTCTTGTTGTAATCGTGAGATGTCGTTAAAAGCTGTGAAACCAGTTACTATTCCGGAAATCAGTGACGGTATTGGAATCGTCCATTTCTTGAAAGGGAAGAGTTATTTCGTTACAGGTGCAACCGGGTTTCTTGGCAAAGGTTACAAACAAAAAAGAAACTTATAAACCTGAAACAAAGAATTTTCTTCTTGTCCAAGTAACATAGAAAACTGTTTGTTGCAGTACTGATTGAGAAACTGTTGAGGGCAAGTCCTGAGATTGGGAAGATTTTTATTCTGGTGAAATCCAAGAATCAAGAATCAGCCAACAAAAGACTCTATGATGAGGTTTCTTAGTTAAACATTTTCATATTTAAGTTGTTCAGTTATCTTTATTTCTACCCTTTTCTGGATTTTGTAATATTGCTTTTTTTGCCATTCAGATCATCAGCTCGGACCTGTTCAAGGTTCTGAAGCAAATGCATGGGAGATCTTATGAAGCTTTCATGAAGAGCAAGTTGGTTCCAATAATTGGAGACATCGGAGAGGAGAATCTAGGGATGAATTCTGAAGCAGCAGACAAGATTAGTGAGGAGATTGATGTCATTATAAATTGTGCTGGCCGTACAACGTTTGACGACAGGTGTGTTTTTCTTCTTGCTCCTCTACCTTTGTTGATCAGCCGGTTTATATTGGTCTAGTACATATATTTAAGATCAATTGTATTTCGGTTAGAACCGGTTAACAACTTATATTTATAGCTGCTTGTAACAGACTTTTACAGTTAATGAGAAAGATACATTTTTACATTTTCTTCATCTTTCTCGTGATGTTGAATCTCTATTATGGTATCAGAGCAATTCCAGCTCGTTTTCTCTGATTTTTTTCTTCATCTTCTACTCTTTTCTTCGTTTTCGTTGTTCCGGTGAGAAGATCCAGTTGATTCCGAGCTCCGATTGAAGTTTCAAATCGTGAAAATCCATCGCTATCGGTGTTTCTTGATTTTCCGATTTTGATTCTGTTGAGTTCTGTTCTCGATCTACACCATGGTGAAGCAAGGAAAGAAGATGAGGACTCGAAGCTCAGTTTCCGATACGGAAGCTTCGGCGAGGCGCAACAGATCTCAAGATTCCGCTTATGAAGATGATGATGTTGCTCCGCCGTCGAATTTACCGCCTAACCGTGTTCCCCCGGGATCAAATCACTCTGGTATGACGACGATTGATACTCATAGTCCCTATTTTTTGCATTCTGCGGATCATCCTGGTTTAAGTATAGCAAATCAGAAGTTAGACGGAAGTAACTACAACAATTGGTACATTGCTATGAGGATGAGTTTAGATGCAAAGAATAAGATTGGATTTGTGGATGGGACGTTAGTTAGACCTGAAGTGAATGATCCGATGTTCAAAATCTGGAGTAGATGCAATAGCATGGTTAAGTCTTGGCTGCTGAATACTGTGAATCAGGAGATATATGACAGTATTCTGTATTATGATGATGCTGTGGAGATGTGGAATGATTTGTATTCCAGGTTTCGAGTCAGTAATCTCCCACGGAAGTACCAGTTGGAGCAATCTATTGCTACCTTGAAGCAAGGCTCGATGGACTTGTCCACTTACTATACTAAAAAGAAGACTCTGTGGGAGCAACTATCTAACACTCGAATCACCACAGCAAGGAGATGCAGTTGTGATCATGTCAAGGAGTTAATGGAGGAAGCTGAAACCAGTCGTATTATTCAATTTCTCATGGGGCTTAATGAGAGTTTCGCCAACATACGGGGTCAAATCCTCAACATGAAGCCTCGGCCAAGCCTCCCAGAGATATATAACATGCTGGATCAAGATGAGAGTCAACGAAGTGTAGGATCGAATCCTCGTGTGACTAATCACCCTGCTGCTTTCCAAGTTCAGGAAACGGTAACCTCAGAGCCTAATCACACGTTACTAACTCAAGGAGGAGGAGGTTATCATCAGAAGAAGTGTTCTTACTGCTCTCGTCTTGGTCACACAGTTGATAAATGTTACAGGAAACATGGTTTTCCTCCGGGTATGTACAAAGGGAAGAAGCCAACCTCTGTTGCTTCTGCTAACATGGCTATTACTCAGCCGGTTACTACCGTGGACAAAGGTTCTCATGAAGATGTTTCCTGTACTTCTCTCTCCAAAGATCAGCTCCAATCTATGATCTCTTATCTGAGTTCTCAACTCCAAACTCCTAGTGTCACCTCCACAACTGAAACTGCTATTGCTTCGACTTCAGCTCACACTCCGGTGATCTCACAGATCACTGGTAGTCTTTCTGGTAACTTCATTTCTCTTTACAATCACTCTTATCATGACATGCTCATTTCGTCTACTGCAAAAGAAACAGATGTGTCTCTTAGAGCTTGGATTATAGATTCAGGAGCCACTCATCACGTTAGTCATGATAGGCAGTTATTCACAAATTACCAACCCTTAGATAAGACTTATGTCACTCTTCCTAATGGCTATACTGTCACCATAGTTGGGGTAGGTAATATTCTTTTGACGGATTCGGTTACTTTATTCAATGTTTTGTACATTCCTGAGTTCAAGTTTAACTTGTTGAGTGTTAGTGTCTTAACCAAAACATTGAATTCTAAAGTTTCTTTCACTGCTGATGATTGCTTAATCCAGGAACTTACTCAGGCATTGATGATTGGTCAAGGTAGACAAGTTGGCAATTTATACATATTGGATGTCGAGAATAAGCATAGAACTTTATCTTTTCAAGGTATGTCGTCTGTTTCTGTGGTTGTAGATTCTTTCACTTGGCATAAACGACTCGGTCACCCTTCTCAATCTAAAGTTCAATCTTTGTCAAAAGTTCTGCAACTACCACATTCAAAAATCAATAAAGATCATTCTGATGCTTGTCATGTTTGCCATTTGTCTAAGCAAAANAATCTTTGTCAAAAGTTCTGCAACTACCACATTCAAAAATCAATAAAGATCATTCTGATGCTTGTCATGTTTGCCATTTGTCTAAGCAAAAACATTTACCTTTTAAACTTCGTCAGAACATTAGTCCTCATGCCTTTGATCTATTACACATTGATACTTGGGGTCCATTTGCTGAACCTACTATAGACGGATCTAAGTATTTTCTCACCATTGTAGATGACTTTAGCAGAGCCACTTGGGTTTTCTTAATGCACGCTAAATCTGATGTCATAAACATTTTCCCTGATTTTGTTAAAATGGTTGAGAATCAATATAAAGTTCCTGTTAAGGCTGTTCGATCTGATAATGCAAATGAGTTGAAATTCACAGAGTTTTTTGCTGCTAAAGGTATTGTTGCATATCATTCTTGTCCTGAAACTCCTGAGCAAAATTCTGTTGTAGAAAGAAAGCATCAACACATTCTAAATGTTGCTAGGGCCTTGTTGTTTCAATCGAATGTTCCTTTACAATTCTGGGGTGATTGTGTTTTAACTGCAGTGTTTCTAATAAACCGTTTACCATCACCTGTTTTGGACAACAAATCTCCTTATGAAAAACTGACTAACAAACAACCTGAGTATGAATTTTTAAAATCTTTTGGTTGTCTTTGCTATGTTAGTACTTCTCCTAAGGGTAGAACTAAGTTCGAACCTAGAGCTAGAGCCTGTGTCTTTCTAGGATACCCTTCTGGCTACAAAGGATATAAGCTTCTAGACATAGAGACACACTCTGTTTCGATTTCTAGACATGTGCTTTTTCATGAGGATATCTTTCCGTTTGTCTCATCATCTTTAAATGATCAAGTCAGACATTTCTTTCCTCATGCTTATTCTCCTGCTGAGCCAACTGATGTGTTCTCTGAACCATTGGTTTCTGATACACATCAACATAAAGATGTGTCATCCTCTAAAGTCTCGCTTCCCTCTGGAAGCAGACCTCCACGTTCCAAGAAGCAACCTTCAAATTTGCAGGATTTTTACTGTTACACTCTTGAGAATGATTCCATTCCTTCATCTACTCCTTACCCAATGACAAATTTTCTCTCCTATTCTGCTTTATCTGAGCCTTTTCATTCCTTTATTCATTCTATTACCAAAACAAAAGATCCTCAAAAATTTTCAGAGGCAATTTTAGACAAGTTGTGGTGTGATGCTATGAAGGAGGAGATTGGTTCTCAGGAAAGGACCAAAACTTGGAGTGTTTGTTCTTTACCATCAGGAAAGAAGCCGATTGGGTGTAAATGGCTATATAAAACAAAGTATCATGCTGATGGTACTGAAGAGAGAANGATATCTCGAATGCCTTCCTCAACGGTGATCTAGACGAGGAGATATACATGAAGCTACCCCCTGGATATGAAGAGCTGACAGGTATTTCTGTGCCTCCTAATGCTGTTTGTCGCCTCCACAAATCTCTATATGGTCTCAAACAGGCATCTAGGCAATGGTACTTGAAATTGTCTTCAACTATCCTGAAGATGGGTTTTAAAAAGTCCAGAGATGATCATACACTCTTTGTGAAGAATGATGCTGGTAGATATCTTGCAGTGTTGGTGTATGTTGATGATATACTTGTTGCGAGCAACAATGATGAAGCAGTTAATGCGTTTGTTGGTGAGTTGGAATCACATTTCAAACTGCGTAATCTTGGAGAAGCTAAGTACTTTCTGGGTTTAGAAATTGCTCGTTCTGAGAAGGGCATATCTATTTGCCAGAGGAAGTATATTTTGGAGTTACTTGATGATACTGGTTTCCTTGGCAGTAAACCATCCTCTATACCTCTTGATCCTACAGTTCGGCTTTCTAAAGAGACAATTCCTCCTAAAGATGGCACTAAAGTAATTCATGAGATGGGAGCTTTACTGCTTGAGCCAAAAGTCTACAGAAGATTAATGGGTAGATTGATGTATTTGGCTATCACTCGCCCTGACATTGCTTACACCCTCACTAAGCTATGTCAGTACTCATCGGCCCCGCGTGAAGCTCATCTTCAAGCCGCTCATAAACTGCTTCGGTATCTTAAAGGCACTGTAGGACAGGGTATTTTCTATGCAGCTGATGGTTCTCTTGCTTTGCGTGGTTTTGCTGATGCGGATTGGGGTTCTTGTCCTGATTCACGCAAGTCCATTACTGGTTATGCCATGTTTCTTGGAGACTCACTTGTCACATGGAGATCTAAGAAGCAACGTACTGTCTCTAGAAGCACAGCGGAAGCAGAGTTTCGTGCTCTTGCTGATGCATCTTGTGAAATTGAATGGATGCTTCGCATCATGGCTGATTTGCAGGTTCCTGTGTCGTTACCTACACATTTGTATGGAGACAACACAGCTTCTCTTCACATTGCCAACAACTCGGTATATCACGAGAGAACGAAGCATGTTGACCAAGATTGTTACACCATTCGTGAGCGCATAGACAATGGTATGATCAAGACTATGCACGTTCGTACTCGTAATCAGGTCGCAGACGTCCTCACCAAAGCTCTCTATCCTTCTCCTTTCCGGGATCTCATTTCCAAGATGGGTGTGTTGGACATCTATGCACCACCTCCATCTTGAGGGGGGGGTATCAGCCGGTTTATATTGGTCTAGTACATATATTTAAGATCAATTGTATTTCGGTTAGAACCGGTTAACAACTTATATTTATAGCTGCTTGTAACAGACTTTTACAGTTAATGAGAAAGATACATTTTTACATTTTCTTCATCTTTCTCGTGATGTTGAATCTCTATTATTGTTCTTGCTTACAAAGTAACTGTTTTAACTAACAAATTGAAACAGATACGACGCTGCCCTAAATGTCAATGCTCTTGGACCTGATAGGCTCTTAAGCTTCGCAAAGGAATGCAAGAAACTGAAACTTTTCCTCCACGTTTCCTGACTTGTTGGGAGATTATCAATCTTCTTGTGATGTTATACCTGTTGATATGGTTGTGGTAATGTACCAGAGTTCAAAGTTTACAATGTTACTTCAACATCTCATGCGCATTCCCTGCGAATGGGTGAGATTATGGACTTCTCTTATCAACATCTATGTGACTCTCCATTGACTGAGACAACAACAAAAGACTTGGAGCGTATGAAATTCCACAGTTCCTTAAAAGAGTTCACCTCCTCTGTATCTAACGCAATAGCAAAACAAGAAAGAGAGATGAAGAATGGAGAAGGAGAAGAAGAGCCACATACAACATTGAGCAGGAAGGGGAAGAGAAAGATTAAGTATTTTGTGTCCATAGCAAAATCATATCAGCCTTACATGTTCTTTCAAGCTCGATCGGTAAATAACATTACTTGGACTTGGACCACTTGGTTGATGTAATAAGCTAGAAAATGCTATCAGATTACTGACCTATTGTAAATATATACCAGGGTTGATGACACCAATACAAGGAGTCTGCTACATGAGTTGTCAATGGAAGAGAAAAATATTTTTGAGTTTGATGGCAGTTGCATTGACTGGGAGCATTACTTTATCAACATTCATCTTCCAGGTCTCAAAAGGGAACTCTTTCGTCAAAGATCCGTTTAGTTAAAGAGTGTGATTTAAGAGACAAATTTCAAAACACGTTCTTGTGTTGTCATCAAGTGTTTCACATATCCTTATGAATTTTTTAATTTAATTAATATCAACATTTAAATGATTTAAATCAACCCAAATACTTGATTTAAATAATTAATACTCAACTAAGATAAGACCTGCGCGTTGCGCAGGATGAATATACGTAATTAAAATATAAAATTTTAGTATTGATAAATTTAAAATTTACATATAATTGTTTTTATATGTATTTGAAATTTTAGAATTTTGGAATTTTTAAATAATTATCTATACGTAGGATCAGAAACAATTGTAATTAGAACTGTTTATCAAATCTTAGAATTTAATGGACCCGATTTCATATATCTTTTCACTTTTTAGTGTTCGAGAGATGAAAAATAAACAGAGTGTCATTGGGCTTGATTGGTAGAGTATTAGCAAATTTCCTAATGATTTTTTAAGAAGCAGTTGGTAAAATAATTGCATTTAAAATATATAAAGTTTCAAAACTAATTTAATATAATTTATTTATTTTTATAATAATATTAGAAAACTATATTTTTACAAATTATTATTTTTAAATAATTTTATAAAAAATTAAGTTAAATTTTAAATTATTTTTTAAAAAAATATTTTAAGTTTTTAAAATACAAATAAAAAATTTAAAATTAATTATGGTCATGATTTAACATAACCATAATGATTTAAAAAATTAAAAAAATTAAAAAAATTAACAAATTAAAAATTAACTTAGTTTTATATCATTATTTAACAATTTGAAAATTAATTATGGTTATGAGAAGTTTACGTTCACGTGTTAATCCTATTTATCTTCATTTTTTTTTGTTGTGTTTTTTTATATTTTGGTTATTACTCGCTATAAATATTGATTTTGAATTTTATTCTCATTTCGTTTATTTGTTTTGACATGAGATTTAGAAAATACTTAAGACTTAAAATAATTAAAAAGATACATACTTAGGTTAAGATCTGCACTTTATGCACAATAAGTATTTTATATTTATAATTTATTTTAAAATTTTATCATAAAATAATAAAATAATAAATATATATTACATAACTAAGAAATCAGTCACTATTATGTAATAAATTGACGTATGCATATAAATTTAACTATCACTCTTGTTTATTCGCAATTAGCGTAAATAAATCAAAATAATCAATCTTTTATATTGTATATGATATATAATTAAATTTAAATGATATAAACATAGTAATATGACACACTTTTAATATTGATATTTATTAAATGAGGTTTCTACTCATATGATTTTATAATCAATCTTATATATTGTATATGATATATAATTAAATTTAAATGATATAAACATAGTAATATGACACACTTTTAATATTGATATTTATTAAATGAGGTTTCTACTCATATGATTTTATGATTATTTGCATATTTGTGTAACAAAACTTTACACCAACGATTTTTTTAATGTGAGTAGTTTCAATAATTTATAATCATTTTAAAATAAAATGACATATTTCAAAATTAAAATATTAACTTTTCAATATATGTTGAAGACAATCAAAATATAAGTATGTATTTTCGATTTGTAGTTTAATTAAAATCATATGAAATATATATATAAACTAAAATTATTTCTTCATATGGTCTTATAATCATTATATTTTAATATAGAAAAAAAAATTAAAACCTTGATCCTAAAAGTTTATGTGAGACTTTTAACAATTTTAGTAATTTATACTCATTTTGAAAAATTCGAAATACAACATACACAAAAAAAATCTAGATTTTTATTATATGATTAATGTAATTGTGTAAATTATTTTAATAATAAATAAATAAAGAAAATGAGAAAAAATATTCAGATTTTTATCAAATCTTTATTGTTTAAAATCATTAATTGTCATATATATTTTAATCACATTAGGTAATTCCGTATGTTTTATTTAAGGAAAACATGCGAAACAATAAATATTTTATATATGCGACCAACTATAGTCTACGAAATATTATATTGCTAGAGAATATAATTTTTAGACTATACATTATATCACATGCTCTAGAATCCTTGGGATTTGAAATAGAAGCCAAATAGCTATGCCACATAGGATTGTGATTATTTTTAATTCTTACAAACTTAAGGTTATAACTTTTTAGATGATTCTCAAATAATATATAGGGGATATGTTTCATAAAGAGTTTTATTTTGACACTTTTTCTTGTTACACGAAGAATGTCATTTTAAATAATAAAATTTATAGGGATTCGGGTACCTATTCGCTTTATGTTCGGGTTATCTGATTTTCGGATTTAGCCTTATATTTCTCATTTGGTTTTATAGAATTTTGAATCGGATTCGGTTCATAACACTTCTGGTTTGGTTTAAAACCGAAGAACCCTTCGCAATCCAAAACCAAATAATAAGAGAAAGTTGCATATCAAATCTTAAATCATAACAATTAGACTCAGTTTAAATGTGACAAACCAATAATGTAAAACTTAAAAAGAGTTTTGTTGACTCCCAAAATCTACAACAAAAAGTGATGATTAAGTATCAAAGGTAATAATATATAATTTTAGGAAGTTGAATAAATCACTATATGTACTAATTATATAATATATATCATATGATATACTATATATGTATATACATGTTTTCTTCGATTAACTTTGGATCCATGTTTAGTTTTCGGATTTATCAGAATCCAAAGGCAAAGTCTAATGTCATATGAAACTGGTTCCATTCGGATGTTTTAAAAGATCTGAAACCGATACAGATCATTCACTTTATTTTGGGTTTCAGATATTCTAAAGGATCCGATACTAAGCGAATTTTTTTTTTTTTTTGTAATAATAATTTCAAATATTGATGTTATGAATGATTGTATTTATTTTAAGTAGTTAAATATATATAATTATTAAAAGTATACATGTATTTCAATAATTTTTTAGTTCGCGTTAAAATATTAAAGTGACACCTTTTAGAAAATAACGAGAATCTATAATAGTAAAGTTAAGTTTTTTTCTCTTTAGAGGAAAAAAGACACGTGGCATTTTTTGTTTTTTTTTCTCACTAATGTTTTTTATTTGTTTAGTGTTCTGATCTGACTAATGAGATGGAATTTTATGTTTTTTTTGTTAGAGACCCGGATGTTGTTAGGGTTTGTTCATTCTAGATGGTAGCGTTAGGCCATGTTTATTGCAGAGTTTTTAGAAGAAGGCTCGTAACGTAATATAAGAATCTTCTCTTAACGTTGACTATGAAAATCTAAGAACCGTTTCTTAAAACTCTTATTTAAGAGTCGGCTTTTAGCCAAAAAGTGTTAAAAAAAACAAAAATGTCAAATCATGAGTTAAGAACCCATGTTAAAAACCTCCTATAAGCATGCCCTTAGGCACCCTGTCTTTTCACATCTCACCACCATCGGCGTTCATTTCTGAAACGGCTACATTAATCCAAGCATTAATGACTTTTGCACCATTCCTACTCTCTCTCGAATTAAATCAGCCATAGCTGAAGGTTCTCTCCGTCAAGCATCAAGTTCATTACTGAAATCACCCTAACCAAATATCAAGCAGGAAGGCTCCCACTGCTCAGCATCTTCTGCCACAATATCATCAACATCTCCACCATCACAAGAAGCTCTCGCTTGCTAGATTTTTGCGGCAAAGCTGTAGTGAATGGTATGTTAATATTTTCACTCCCCTCATTTTCTTAATCAGTTTTTTTTCCCTGGTTGCAACCCTTCGGTTTCTCTGACATTAGGTTTCTACTAAGTTCTTTCATGCACTTTTTCAGGATCTTTCGGGAAGGTCCAACTAAAATAATAAGCGAAGGAAACTTTGCTGTGCATAAGTTATATTCATATCGTGAAGTGAGAAACATTTTTTACTCTTACATATATTGAACCAGTGTTTGATTCTCCAATCCTAAGTCCCCTTTAGTCTCTAAAAGTAGAAAACCTTGATGAATCGTTGCAGAAGACAGATAATTAGATATCTCCAAAGTGGAGCGATCATATATATATTCGAGATGGCAGCCAAATTATGTTGCATGATTAACTTTGAGATCCCTTCATCAAGCGTTGCATAACTCTTGAGTTTCTGGTTACCTCGAGATGACACAAAAATATTCCAATGACATCTTGGCTTCAAGAAAAGAGGAGTATTTGGAAAGAAGTGTATGCAAGAACCTTGAGATGATGTGTGTCAAAGTCTTGAAACAAATCTGCGATTCTACTCCCTCTTGCAGACGAACTTAATCTCAAAAGTAGATGCATCGACGCCATTAGTAGGTACCCTATCTTAACAACTCCCGATACTGTTTTAATCCACCTCTAACAAATTCAATCAATTATAGACTGCAGAGTTCCTATTTACTAGGGAAGTTGCCAGCATTACACAGCTAATAGGTGGTGCTATGTCTCATGCTCCAAGTGTTACCAAAAATTCAGAGGGGTTCTCATCCTTTATGTGTTCAGCCTGCCATAGTGCCATCATCAAAACGTAGTTGGGGTTGTAAGGCAAACCACACTGAACTATTTTTCATAGCCCTTTTCCAACTAGTTCCAATGCAACCCTCATTACCATAACAGCTAACAAATGGTCTCTGATTTTGACAACTAGGTACCAGATCATTAAGATGTCAGTAATCTGCGCCTTACACTGCAACGTTCGTTGCTTTTGATGGTGAGATGAACAAGTTGACCAGTTTTCCGGCTGCAGCAGTTTCACAGTCCACAGCAACATATCTTAAATCTCACGTGTTCACTAATTTACGGTT